GCGGGGAGGAGAAAAAAGGTGTCTTGTGTATAGGCTGTGCAGCAAGAAGGCAAACACTTTAAAATGCAAGGAAGGGATTCAGTCAACAAACTAACAATCACTAAATTGGAGCAGGAAAAAGAGCGTTCATCATTCGAGAGTCCTTTCCAGCCTTAAAAAGTGAACGAGTGAGTGATACTGGAAATGAGTGTATAAAATAACATTTTTTAAAATAATGCCAGCTCACTGCTAGTAACAGAAAAGAAGAAGTCTGCAGATAGTTGAATACGTAACTACCAACACTGAGCCAGACACAGAAATAACAAAATGTGAATTCTCAACCTTTAAGTGAACAATGAAGAAGAACTCAAGCTGAGGTAGTCCAGTATAGGGCCGCATTAGTGCACAGTAGCACTCCTAACCGAAATCCTTTTTACATTGTCCTGTTTGTCCTTTTAACACATACATGGCAGCAAGCTTTCATAGAGAGTGCCAAGTGCTGGTCCAGCCATTAGGAGCAATTTGTGGTTCAGTGTCTTCTTCAAGTGGATGCCCTCCTCACTTGTCCATACTCGAGCTGATTTCATTATGAAAACCTAGATTTTCAGGTTATAGTTCCACCAAATCCAATGCTGTTTCTTTTTTTTTAAATGGCCATTTTTTAAGACCACATCTCCAATTACTATCTAATAAAATTTTTCAGAAACCACTTTACACGTAGACTGCAGCCTTTTATAATCCAAATTCCACCTGTGTGATTGGTGCACTTTTCCCGCTGCCATTTTTAATGTAATTCCATAAATATATGTGAAATGATCATGAAGTAATATGTACAATCTACCATAACACATAAACATCTATAAATCGCAGCACCCACTCATTCCACATAACACACATTTTCTCTGTATTAACAGGGGCTTATTAGAAAATTTTCAAGCCAATTGTTGGAGTCCTGAAGAAGCCCAGTGCATTGACAGTGACCTCCCAAGAGATGAATGCTTCACCCAGATGGATCCAGAGCTCATCCTTGGTGCAGACGCTGAATGCAAAAGGGCCTTCGTGGCTACTTTAGGCACAGTGCTTCACCATCCTTGTACATGTAAAAGACTCTACAATGACGATCTTCTTACATGCAGCATGATTCACGACGTGCTTCACAATAGATCACGCTTCAGTGAGTATCTTTTTTTTTTCTAACCAGGCATTTTTAAATGTAACAATCATTTTTCCTGGAAAGATTGTAAATTATTTTTATTTGTATTTCAGTGGCATCTTCAGAAACAATCATTCGCCCCTCTAAACCTCCTCAGACCATTGAATCAGATCATGCTTATGCTTGGTTGCAAGGTAAATTGAAATTTGTAAACTCTTTATGCTAATCGTAGTATGATTCACATGAATTTAAATTATCAAAACAGTTTTTGAGTGGGTTTTCGAGATGGAATATTTTGTCTTTCCAGATTATCTTCTGTACGTTGTTGCAGCCATCCTGCTTGCTGGTGTCATATTAATGCCTCTGGTTATTGTCAGTAAAAAATGGTAAGCATCGATGTTGAATCAATGTTAAGTCGCTTTTATCAAAATATTATATATAATTTACTTTTATTTCTGTTTCCTTGTAGGATCTCGAGAAAGAGAGATAAAACAAAATTTCACCATCCACAGAAAAGCAACTGTGTCGTTATTCTCTGATGTTTATTCCTCTTCCCACTGAATAAAATAATCATCATTTTTTCTCTTTTAACTCAAGATCACAGCTGAATAGATTCGTGAGGTTCCTTTGAGTTTGCTGCACATGCAGTCATCTCATATTTCTTTGCTGTAATAGGTAATAGAGTTTATTAAGAAAATAACTAAATTGAGAATGCTTTAAAACACTATTATCAATAGCCAAATGAATATTGTTGTAATCATCCTTTGCACAGGTCTCCAAAGCACACTTTGTTTTTCAAAGTACTTGGTAGGTGATTGATGAGTTTGACATGAGGGCTCTGTGGGAGTCATACAATCTGTACAAGGACTGATTGTTCTTCTTGCTGTAGTTCAGTAGCTCTAGGTCTAGAGTTGCTGTATGTTTGAAGCACTTGTCACACAGTGGTGTTACTTGATTGATAAGACTATAAGAAGCTTTTGCACAATCTTGTGAAGTAGCATTGTTTAGTTCTTCTGTAGTGCACCCTTAATCTTTGTGTTGTTGCAAACAGTGATCTTGTGCTGCTTTATTAAAGAACATATTGTATATTTGTAGATACAACCTTTATGTTTAAAGTTAATTGAAAAGATTTTGTTGTTAATCTTTCACACCGACAGTTATTATAGAAGAAAACAACAGATCTGACAAGTTTAAGATTGCTTTAAGTTATAACTTCAAGTGTGATGATTTATTTGTGCTCTGCTCACTCTTGTGCTGTGTTCCTCTGTATCTGATAATAAACTTCCCACTGAAAGCCTTAAAGCCCCACAGTTTGTTCAAAATGCTACATTTTACGTGACGATTCCTTTAAAAGGAGCTTTTAAAGAAAAACTTCAAAATCAGAATTTAAATCATTTGTCTTTTTTTTTTTATAGTTCCAGTCAGTGTGCGTGAAAGCCCCCCAAGAAAGATCTTCAACCTGAAGCAGTGATTTGTTTTTCTTTTATTAGTTCATAGACAGCTATCGAGAAAGCCCTGTCAGCATAGTCCACTTAGTCCTGGAATCAGGGACAGAGTGGAGCCTTTGGTCAGGTGATGTCTGATATAAAAACAGGAGAAGTAGAAAGGGAGGACTACCCTATTCACCCCTTTGTGCACAAACAGCAGGGGAGAGGCACTGATGGGAGTTATCTGTATTGACCTGTAAACACACTTACTTTAGCATTTTGAGCTATTTGGAGACAGGGTAACGAGGTCTGAGTGGTGGCAAAAGAGAAGCAATTGCAGCAATCAAGATGAGTGGATTTGCTTCACTTTAATTGGGCCAAAGACACCAAATTGTTTTTGTCACTGGAGCTGATCTAACCCTGATTCACTGATCTGCTCTGTTTTATACGATTGAGCTATAGGTGAGTATTTCTGGACTCATTCTGCCCGGCAAAGAATTGAAGTTGTGTCCAATAGTCTATTTAAAGTCAAATTAAAGGTCAATGTGGATAAATATGATTGATGTTTTAACCCATGATTTAATTCTTTTTTCTATCATGTTAAGCACACACAACATACAGTCTGATCTTTTGTGTGGAGGGCTCTGTGTCTGTGAGGAAAATGAACAACCATGTCTGGAAATCTATATATTTGAAAGGATGCAACAGTAAGTAGATACAGAGATAAATCCAAACACATGCTAAAAAGTTCCCAGCTGGTTTGAAGGCAGGGATTTTTGTTGGACAGGAAGAGTTGATTGGGAGGTACAGAAGGCTTTTTTCAGGAAAATAGGACAAAAGGGAACTAAACACTAAACAGTGAGCTAACCATGTTCATTGACAGGCAAACACTGGATTGGTGGGACTATTTATATACTTGGGCCTAATTTCAGATGTAGGAGATAATAAAGTACAAAACCTTCACTAACGTACTTACGTAGAACTTTCAGGCGTCTGTATTTTACTTTAAATTTTGATGTTTTTGTACAAATCTTTACTTTTTAATTCTTACATTTTCAAAATGGGGGCGGGGATTATTTCTATCACTGCTTGCCTTCAAACATCAAAACAATTTGAACCTAAATCGAGGGGAAAATAACATAAAAGACAATTCTGTTGGTGTGTGTCTATCGCATGTGCTTATCTGTATCTTATCTGGGATGGAAGACAGAAAAACACATCATCTAGCCATCATTTCTAGGACTATGCTCAGGTTTTAGACTGAGTTTGAATGTGGCAGGTGATTTTAAATGCAAACACCAAAAATGCAAACACAAATCCAACACCTCAACAAATATTAGCAAACAGACAAACTGTTTCTGCACAGTTTGTCACACAGTGTATTGCTAGCTAAAGGCACAGCTGCTCTATTTCCCAGGGAGAGAAAACGTGGGAGATAACTTCACTCAGAGATGGAGAAAGGATAAGGAAGGATAGGAAGAAAAAGAGGTTATTTTTAAAGCTGAGGACTTCTCGGTGACATTTGATATACTGGAAATGTAAAGCTTACATTTTAAAGGTTTCGTTCATTTTATAGTTTATCAAACAGATATTGATCACATGAAAATATCTGGCAGTTTAATGCAGGGTTAGTTCACCAGAGTATGCTGTACTCTGGTGAAGTTTAGTGATGGAGCAGAGTGACTGTGGTGATCACAATCACAGGCAGCAGACATGAAAATAAATTTAAGCTGGTGGTGCTGCTTGGATTCATTCACTGACTTCCACATTTAAATTAGCTCTATACAGACTAGTGGTGGGCATTAGCTGTGATAGTTCATGTAACATCTGCTTACATCTTCTTGAATTAGGCTGTGTAAATCCACAAAGAGAGGAAGCAGCCATACCATGTGATTAAAATCTATTTGTGCTGATAGCAGAAATTACTGGGACTTATTTCTATTCACTTCAGCTGGTCTTAGAG